GCATGGCCTATCTTATAATGTGAAACGTGCTGTTTCTTAAGGGAGAATCCTATGCTACTTTTAAAAATGAGTCAATGCAATCTCTAGCAGTATTTACTGCCTTGCCTTCAAATTAGAAAACATTAGTAGGTCAGCCCAGGGCCCTCTTATCACTGCCCAGGGGCCCCACGTGCATGGATAGTCTCTGCAGTTCTCCCCCAAGCAGGACAAATCTCATGTGCACAGATATAACTGATCTTATGTGTGGCTCTCACTGCAGCGGCTGAAAACCGGCATCTCCTCCTCCCTCCGGTCCGTGTTCAGCTACTACAAGGAGAGCTACAAGAGATTGGTACCCATAATTTCCCCCACCCGCTGCACTGATCACCTGCTCTGTTTTATTGGATCCCCCCCCCGCCCCACTTGAGCATCCCTGTGTGCCCCCTCCCCCTTCACAGTGCTGCCATCTTCCCTCCTCTCCTCTTCTACCAGCAGATGTGGGGATCTTCAGGATGGAGAGCAGGGGTAGAGGCCAGTAAATATGTCCAGCCCCTTCCTTTTCTAAATGAACACAGTGAGTGATCAGTACCAATCACTCTCTCTGTTCATTCATAACTGAAACATAGTAAACTGTGTTTACTTTGCTTCAGTGTATGAATGAACAGGAGCCTCTGTCTCCTTTTCATTCATCTGCAGTACAGCTAAGGCTGCAGAAAGGAGCTTGGGCATGTGTTTCCTCAGTCCCTTTCTCTGTCTCAAAAGTGAGACTTTAGGGCAGCCCTTTTCAACCAGGGTGCCTAGGCACCCTGAGGTGCCTACAGGGTTATTCAGGGACGCCTTGACAAAATGACTACAAATTGCCAGAAATTGTCCAATAAATGTGCACAAGCCAGTGGGTAGATCAAGCCTGACTTTTGATACACAATGCCATAGGTTTTCAATGTGGAACATTACAACCTTGGGCACCGTGGGGTTTACTTTGCAAAAATAAATTATCTCTAATGTGAATTGAAAAAAAAAAATTACAATCAGACTATAACTCCACACACAATAGGTTGCATAATTTAGCCACACCCACTGTTTGCTATGGTGCATGCCACAGGTCACCATCTCCCTGGTAGGGGCCCCAGTACATTACTTTGCCCAGAGGCCCATGATACTATTACCCCCATACACCCCCATAACAACATCTCCCAAGAGTCCTTTTCCAACACTCTGTGTGTGGGCAGGCTCCTGGGAGTTAAGCACAATAAGAAAGAAAAAAGCGCCTCTAAGTGCAGTATAAGGACATTTAATGCAGAACAATAAAAAATCACTCACATGGTAAAAGAATTCAAAAGGCTCATCAATATTGGAGTGTCAAGAGAAGTCCTCGCTGGGTAAGCCGCGATCCACGCCTGGGGAGACTCTGGATGGAGAGAGCTGGACAGCTTGTGTGTGTGTCTCTTAGCAGATGGGCAATGAAATGCTCCTTGGAGCGCAAGGTCGGTATCAGCGTGATGACGTGAAGAGGACCAGCATGCAATGCGAAGCGTTTCGGAGCATGCGCAAAGCCAATGGATGGTAAGCGCGCCCCTTCTGGTATGGTAATGGGAAGGTTGTGTACATACAGTATATAGGGAAATTCTAATGAGCACTGCCGATTGGATAATTGAACTAATAATGAACTAAGGCACTATGGATGTAAATATAATAAAATTATTATTATTAAAGGAAGGAATGAATTGAAAAAAATTATAATAAAGAAAAATAGAAAATTAGAAAAATGGAAAAAAAAAATAAATTAGAAAAAATGAAAAATAAAAAATAAATATAAAAATAAAATAAGAATAAAAATTAAAGAATAAATTAAAACAATTGTGAAAAAAATAAAAAAATGAATGAAAAAATGAAAAAATTAAACATGAAATAATGAAACATGAAAAAAATGAAAAAATAAAAATGAACAAATAAATAAAAATTATTATTATTATAAATAAAAATAATAATGAAAATAAAGGTAACCTGTAAAAATATATATATAGTATTGATAGGTAAAAAATGAAAAATATAAAAATAATAATGATTGGTATGTACAAGCATATACATACATATGACTATATAAATACATACATATTGAAGAAATTTGTTACCACATTTACATCATATACATCAAATGCTAATGGTAAATATAAATATAATTAAAAACACAATAGATTGGTAATAAAACAATAGAGAATGAAGGTAATAGTATGATGATAGGAGTAAGAATAATAATAAAAAAAATCAATATTAATAATAAATCGTAACAAATCATGATAATAAATCAGGCCGTAGTGATACATTGGCAAAGGATAATGAAAAATGAAAAAACAAAAACATATTGCAAATAGCCCATTATAGGATGGTACTAACATCTAATTCTTCATTGAGTCCACCTGGGGTTAATGTGTCTAACATAAAGATTCAGTATGTTTCTTGGGAGCATAACTTTTGAAAACGTTCAGATTCAGAAAGATGTTTAGGTATGGCTTCTATAATCCAAACTTTTAAGGCTGTTGTGGATTTCTGATTAAATTCCAAAAAGTAACGGGGGGACACTGTGTTTGTCCTTACCGTCTTCAATGAGTCGACGGTGTTCCCCAAATCTAGCACGTAGTGGTCTAATAGTTCGGCCTATATATAATAGGCTGCAAGGGCAAGTCAGACATCAAAATACATAATCAGTAGAACAGTTGTAAAATTCACTCAAAACATAAGTTTTATCCTTGGTGGTAAAGGTTTTCTGTTCGTGCTCTACGAATTTGCAGATCTCGCATAATGCATTATTACATTGATACAATTTAAAAAGGCATTATGCAAGACCTGCAAATTCATACATCTTTCTGACTCTGAACGTTTTCAAAAGTTATGCTCCTGAGAAACATACTGAATCTTTCTGTTAGACACATTCTCCCCGGGTGGACTCAATGAAGAATTAGATGTTAGTACCATCCTATAATGGGCTATTCGCAATATGTTCTTATTTTTCATTTTTCATTATCCTTTGCCAATATATCACTACGGCCTGATTTATTATCATGATTTATTATTATTGATTTATTATTCTTATTCTTACTCCTATCATCATACTATTATCATCATTTTCTATTGATTCATTACCAATCAATTGTGTTTTTAATTATAGTTATAATTACCATTAGCATTTGATGTATATGATGTAAATGTGGTAACACATTTCTACAAAATATGCATGTATTTATATAGTCATATGTATGTATATGCTTGTACATACCAATCATTATTATTATTCAATTTTTCATTTCTTACCATAGTTTAACAATCACTATCATTACAATATATATATATTTGCAGGTTATCTTTATTTTAATTATTATTTTTATTTATAATAATTATTATTTTTTTAATTTTTAAATTTTTTGTTTCATTTTTTCATGTTTCATTATTTCATGTTTCATTTTTTCATTCATTTTTTCACTTTCTTCTTTTTTTTCACATTTTTTTTATTTAATCTTTAATTTTTATTCTTTTTTTATTTTTATATTTATTTTTATTTCTTTTTCATTTTTTCTTATTTCATTTTTATTTTTTTATTATTATTTTTCCAATTTTCCTTTTTCTATTTTTCTTTATTATTTTTTTCAATCCATTCCTTCCTTTAATAATAATAATAATAATAATTTTATTATATTTATATCCACAATGCCTTCATTCATTAGCTCAATTATCCAATCGGTAGTGGTCATTAGAATCTCCCTATATATGTACACAACCTTCCCATTACCATATCAGCCTATGCTTGTGAAGGGTACGCTCTTGCCATCCATTGGCTTTGCGCATGCTTCGAAATGCATCGCATTGCATGCTGGTCCTCTTCACGTCATCACACTGACACTGATGTTGCGCTCCAAGGTGCGTTTCATCGCCCATCTGCTGAGAGACATAAACACAAGCCAGCCGGCTCTCTCCATCCAGAGTCTCCCCAGGCATGGAACGCGGCTTACCTATCGAGGACTTCTCTTGACACTCCAATATTGATGAGCCTTTTGAATTCTTTCACCATATGAGTGATTTTTTATTGTTGCACATTAAATGTCCTTATACTGTACTTAAGAGGCGCTTTTTTCTTTCTTATTGTGCTTAACTCCCAGGAGCCTGCCCACACACTGAGTGTTGTAAAAGGACTCTTGGGAGATGTTGTTATGGGGTAATAGCATCATGGGCCTCTGGGCAAAGTAATGCACTGGGGTCCCTACCAGGGAGATGGTGACCTGTGGTGATTTTTTCTTTCTTATTGTGTTTTCATCCAGAGCCTGCTACAGCTTCAAGAGCATGCCCTAGTGCTATGTGGACTTGCAAACATTGAACTTTAATCTGTGTATTTACTTGTTCTCTGGCACCTGATTTGGGGAATTATTTTGTGCTGATTTTATTGTTTTTTTGTCCTGGGTGTTAAGGTAGCAGCATTGTTTTACTATGAAATAAATCGATAAATGCATATGGAGTAGGACAGAGAGGGATGGGGGAAATGGTGAGTTCTGTATTCCAGGAGGCAGAGCTTAGAATGCTGCTTGGGATTTCAGTACAGTTGTATCAGCCCAAACAGGAGGTTAGAAGCTTGCTTGATTTCTGGCGATCAACAGGTATTTTTCTGTACTTGCTTTTTTTTTAAAAAATGGGTTTACTCAGAAACACAGCACCAGGTTGGAGCACATAAAGTGATTGTAAAGGATTAAAAAAAAAATAACAAAAACATGTCATACTTACCTTCTCTGTACAGCCCAGATCCTCCTCTTCAGGGGACCCCCCCCCACTGAGTGCCTCCATAGAAAGCTATGCTATGGGGGCACTTCTGCTTTCTTGCTCCTAAGCTGGCTCTGTGTGTCCATTAACACATGGAGTATGGCTCGGCCCCGTCCCCCTGTACTCTCCTCACTGGGTGTGATTGGCGGCAGTGGGAGCCAATGGCTCCTGCTGTGTCTGAGATAATGAGGAGGGAGAGAGCTGGAAGACCATCTGTGTGCACATTGCTGGATCGACATCAGGCTCAGGTAAATATTAAGGGGGGCTGGCAAAAGTTTTTTTACCTTAATGCAGAGAATACCTTCTGTCTTTAGAACCACTATAAATATTCATATGCAGGGGTGGACTGACAACTCATGGGGCCCCCGGGCAATAGGGGATCATGGGGCCCCTGTGTCCTCGCCCACACCCAAAAAAAGCCTATGAAAAAGACAATGAAAGGTACCAGGGGCATCTCATGGGGCCCCCTACTGACCCCGGGCCCTCGGGCACTGCCCGAGTGCTCAAATGGTCAGTCCGCCTCTGTTCATATGCCATACCTGTGAGGCCACTGTGGAAGTAGAGAATCCCTGCAGTAGTCACTACTACTACAGTGATCACTGTTGTCTTCTAGGTTCTGTGCTGAGCGGCTGCCCTGCTGCATAGTAACCATGGTGGGTTGCTTGCTTAGCAGGGGCACCATTCACAGACGTTTTGCATCTTTCTCAGTGAATGCAAGGCATTCTCTAATCGGATGAGGTGCAAAGGCAGGGTGATGATGTTATAATCTCCATCTTGTCCAATCAGAGAACACCTTGCATTTATTGATACAAATGCAAGGCATTCTGTGAATGGTGTCTATACAAGAAAGTGTTACTATGTAACAGGAAAGCCACTTGGCACAGAACCCAAAGGACAGCCACAATCAGTGTAGTAGGTGCGACAATGCAATGATTCTCCACTTCCACAGTGGTCCCACAGGTATGGCATGTGCATACTTACAATGGTCCAAACAGGACTAGTGCAACTATGCAATAAAATGAATACCCGGAGGTCCAAAAGAAATAAAAAGAAGAATTATATGTATTTGTAGATCTGCTGTTTTGAGCCTCTTCACAGATGCTTTTTTTTTCGGTCTGTTATATTCTTTTGCAGATTGAATGTTCCAGTGTTTCAGATTATTCAGAGAAAATTATCAAGGCCAACCACCTGGACAACAGTAAGGCATTTGAAAATGTTTTCATGTTAAAACGTAAAGGCAAAGCTTTTATTCTTCATTGCTGCTAGGCATGCCGTGACTTTTCACACTTCTGAATGCCAGTACATGGCTTTTCCTCCCCCATGCAAAAGAAGCTATCATTAGAAAAAGACTGTTAGAAGTAACAAAACACTCCTGACCTTCTGTACTTATTGTTGCTGGAGAGAATAATTGGAAACCTACAATATTTAGAAACATTTATAGAAAATATGACCCCAGATAATAGGGACTGTCTCCAGGAAATGAGGATGAATGGTAACCTTAAAACAGACCCCTCACAATGGGGACAGACCCTGGGAAATAGGGATGATTGGTAATTATAGGACAGACCCCTCAAAATGGGGTTTGTCCCCAGGAAATAGGGATGAATGATAACCTTAGAACAGACCCCTCACAATGGGGACTGTCCCCAGGAAATAGGGATGAATGGTATGTTAGGACAGACACTTCATAATGGGAACTGTCCCCAGGAAATGGGACTGAATGGTAACCTAAGGACAGACCCCTCACAATGGGGCTGCCCCCAGGAAATAGGAATGAATGGTAAGCATAAGGCAGACCCCTCACATCAAGGTGCTGTCCCTGGGAAATAGTGAATAATTGTAATTTTAAGACAGACTTTTGACAATGGGGACTGTCCCCAGGCAATAGGGATGAATTGTATTCTTAGGACAGACCTCTCAGAGGTATAGACTCCAGAGAGAGAGATATCATTTTCCCCTGAGCAAATCATTAGTAATACCTCATCTGGAATATGCAGTTCAGTTTTGGGCACCAATTCACAAAAAGAACATTGTGGAACTGGAGAAAGTACAGAGAAGGGCAACCAAACTAATAAGAGGCATGGAGGAGCTCAGCTATGAGGAAAGATTAGAGGAACTGAATTTATTCTCTCTTGAGAAGAGGTGATTAAGGGGGGATATGATCAACATGTATAAATACATCAGTGGTTCATATAGTGAACTCGGTGTAGAGTTTTTTCACCCTGAGGTCATCACAGAGGACAAGGGGGGCACTCTTTACGTCTGGAGGAAAAGAAATGTAATCTTCACATACGGAAAGGTTTGTTCACAGTAAGAGCTGTGAAAATGTGGAATAGACTCCCTCAAGAATTGGTTCTGGCCAGCTCAGTGGATTGCTTTAAAAAAGGCCTGGATTATTTCCTAGACACACAGAATATAACTGGATACTAACATTTATAGGTAAAGTTGATCCAGGGAATATCTGATTGCCTCTTGGGGGATCAAGAAGGATTTTTTCCCCTGCAGGAGCAAATTGGATCATACTTTGCTCGGTTTTTCTCTTGCCTTCCTCTGGATCTACTGTGGATCTAGGATTATAACTTTTTTTTTTTTTGGTTAGACTAGATGTACTTTCGTCTTTTTTCAGCCAGACTAATTATGTAACTGTAATGGGGACTGTCCTCAGGAAGTGTAGATGAAAAGGTACCTCTTATAATGGGGAGGAATAGTAATCTTACTGTAAATTACACTTTTGCTGGACAGACTGTGAAAGAAATGAATTAATCAAATTCATGATTCGGCACTTATGTTGATGGCAAGCTTGCAAAATATTTGGTTTTATGATTACACATAATTAATATTAATATGTTTGAATGGACGCCTTAAGCCAATGATATTATTTAATTCTTCAGTAAAGTAAGCTGAGATATAAGTTATAGCTGAGACCCAAAGATATGAGTTAGTTAAGCTGAGACCAGCTAAACCAGCTGAAGGCTATATTAAGGCATAGCTGATTAGAAGTCTCTAGTAAATGTCAAGGGTATTAGAAGTGACTTACTATTACTTAATGTATTTTAATAGTATCTGTGTGTATTTAGTATAATTTATAAATATTGATACATATATAGATTAGTGATTATACATTGATATGTTGTAAAGATACGTTCTTAAGTTATATTATAATTTAAATATGATAGTTGAGGTTACATCATCAACATATGTACCTGTCCATCAAAAACATCATATATATAGTGTCCCCTGCCTTCTATGATATTGCTTTGCCAAGCAGTACTGACTTCCTTACAAGGCCTTAAGAATCCAAAGCTATGACGTGTACTTGCCTCATAAAAGACCATGAGACAACGGACACGGGGAATCTTGCATACATAAAACACACACATGTCTGAGAACCTTCTGAGAAGCTGGAACAGGTGCATGCTGTAAGACAAGATCGTCACTTCCGTCTACTTCCGGCTTCTTCCCAAAGTCTCGAGAAGGACAAGGAGAACATGGAAGGTGCACATGGTCAGACAGCCATGACAATAATAGTGACTTTTCTTTAAACTTCTGCTTGATATTTCTACAGTAGTTTTATCTACATGGAACTGTTCATGATATGCTTTACATTGTTATTTTAAGCCATTGTGTGATAGAATAAAATCACACTTTATTTTTTATTTCAACGGCTCTTTCATTCATCATCGCCTCAAGACACTAAAAGAAGTATTATATGTGTCTAAAATCCAACAGACTGCATCATATACTGTATGCCATTTTTAATATGTTCAATATTTTGTAAATTGGTGACCCATAGCAAGTATATATTTATTTTAGGAGTTCGAAAAATTTCTTAAACTTTTCCTGGACTGTATTCTTGTTCCAGGATAGCAATATGGATTGCATTAAGTGTACATAGAGTGTGTTTGGGAAAGTGTTTGGAAACGTTTTTAGTTTGGATAGAGTAAGGAAGGGTTATAACTCATTTAAGTTTGTTTCCTCTCTGTGTCCCATAAAGAAGATTTTCCTTCTCTTCCAGTTCTGGAAGTGAGAGGAAATCATTATTGGAAGAGTTATCTATGTGTCCTGATCTGGGGACAACTATAATGTTCTGGATAGAAGAAAGGAAGGGAAAGAGAGGCGCCAATCCGCCTATAGCAGCGGTTCTCAACCTGGGGGTCGCGACCCCTTTGGGGGTCGAACGACCATTTCCCAGGGGTCGCCTAAGACCATCGGAAAACACATATTTCCGATGGTCTTAGGAACCGAGACACCGCTGCTGTCTCCGGCGATGTGTGGGCGGGATGATATGCTGCTCCCCTGTCACCGGCTCCTCGCCGCTGATTGGCCACCGGAACTGTAGCTCAGGAGAGGCACACAGGGCGGCCAATCACCGGCGAGAAGGTGGAGCTTGGAGAGGAGGAGCCGAGCGGCAGCGCGCGGAGATCGAAGAAGATCGAGGGAGCTGCAGGAACGAGTGAAGAGAGAGGCCAGAGAAGGAAGACAGCTGACAGGTAAGTGCAAATTTTGCTGCTGCAGCCAGGTATGCAGGCTGTAGATGGGAGAGGGAGAGAGCGAGCCCAGGCTGGAGCAGGAGTCAGCAAGGTAAGTATCATTGGTGTCAGTGGAAGGGATAGTGCCCCATCATTTGTGTCACTAATACCAACGATGGGGCACTATTTCCTCCCCCCACTGACACCAACGATGGGGCACTATTCCTCCCTCACTGACACCAACGATGGGGCACTATTCCTCCCCCCACTGACACCCCCTCACTGACACCAACGATGGGGCACTATTCCTCCCCTCACTGACACCAACGATGGGGCACTATTCCTCCCCTCACTGACACCAACGATGGGGCACTATTCCTCCCCCCCACTGACAAACCCAACGATGAGACAGTATTCCTCCCCCCACTGACACCAACGATGGGGCACTATTCCTCCCCCACTGACACCAACGATGGGGCACTATTCCTCCCCCCACTGACACCAACGATGGGGCACTATTCCTCCCCCCACTGACACCAACGATGGGGCACTATTCCTCCCCCCACTGACACCAACGATGGGGCACTATTCCTCCCCCCACTGACACCAACGATGGGGCACTATTTCCTCCCCCCATTCCTCCCCCACTGACACCAACGATGGGGCACTATTCCTCTCCCCCCACTGACACCAAACGATGGGGCACTATTCCTCCCCCCACTGACACCAACGATGAGACAGTATTCCTCCCCTCACTGACACACCATGATACCAATGGGCACTATTCCTCCCACTGATACCAATGATGGGGCACTATTCCTCCCACTGATACCAA